TGTATCTTTGTATAAAATAGCTCACCTGGATAACCTGCCCCTCCCCCACCAGTATGTATCTTTGTATCAAATAGCTTACCTGAATAACCCCCCCTCCCCCACCAGTATGTATCTTTGTATCAAATAGCTTACCTGGATACCCCCTCCCCCACCAGTATGTATCTTTGTATCAAATAGCTCACCTGGATAACCCTCCTTCCCCACCAGTATGTACCTTTGTATAAAATAGCTTACCTGAAGTAGTGATCTCCTCCAAGTATGACACGGTCCCCCTGTAGTAATCAGACAAAAGTAGTGTTCACATTCAACAGGCCGTACAAATATTGGTAACAGGCCGTACACTTGTCAGTTAGCACCACACGCAGCTACATATTTCGGTCAGGGGTGAATTTTGAGTATTAATAGAAACTCTTCAATCTTCATCCAAGTCCTAGCTCAATTTCCTGTATAAGATCTACAGACTTTACCAAAGAAGCTATGGCAGTTTCACAAATATGATAAATACATTGCAGTTTATACAGGTAGTCAACTTAAGTAGATTTGACTTGTCTTTGCGACAGTTACAATAAGACAGTACCAAATTAAAGGTCTTATGGTCCCTGGCTTGGCTGGAATTTACCCATTGTATGAAAGATTGTACGATTAACATCAAGTTATTGTTGATCATTAACTAGGTGTACAATTGTTTTTCATCACTGACTGATGTTATGTAGTATAGGAGATGGTAGATGGTTTCTGACAATTAACACATCATAAAACAATAACAACTCCGCAAAAACCCATTAAATTTCAATTTTACAATGTTTCAATGATCAGAGATTTTTTTCCACAGATGTAGTATGTTGCAAGATTAATTAGTAAACAATGAATTTCTTTGAACACTACCTCAGAATGAGACACTTTAATCTTTATTTCAGAGGAATCTTTGTTATTCTGTGGTTGAAAGCCCCATGAGATACAGATCACTACAGGTTAACCGTTTAAAGGTCCTCTAATGATTTTATCAGCATGTTATCTGATCAATGACGTTTATACCGACACACACACTAGTATTGGTGCGAACCTGAGGTGTATATGGACACACCCCAAGGCATTGGTCCGAGCCTGAGGTGAGCACAAAATCAACGGCCGACACCTGGGGCAGAATTCATCTGTTCTATGATCATAATGTAAACAAACAGGGTCGACCAAAGAGCCAGCAAAGTCCCCCAAACAATACCAGACTAAAGTGTGACGACTGATTAGTTATCTCCCATCTGTACACAGCCTCACACTCCATATATACATCACACCTTCCACTCAATGACATAATAGTAAATGCATTTCTAGTTCACAGAAATTATCTAATCAATTTGATGACAGAACTACCAAGTATTCATGCACATCACATCTAATAATGATTTGGTATTACAGGTTTTAAATATGATTATCAATAATGTGTTTATAACAAACCAAGACATCTCAATATCGTTATCTACAGTTCAACTTCAGCACTTTCTTCATCAGTCAAGTGAATCCCATCAAACACATCCAGAGAAAATTTGACATACAAACAAGACAATAGAGCAAAAGTAAGGGATCAGTAGTCAACAAGCAAAATTTTATTTAAAGAAATAAATTGCCTTATTAGGTGAGAGGCCCAAATTTGGCCCAAACACTTAGTTGTTAAATCTCAGAAATTGTAGCGAATTATTTTGCAAATATCATCTACAGCTTCCACAAGTAAATAAACAAATGTTCTGGTGTAAATATAAAATTAGCAAGGTGCTATACTGACGTGATGAAGGATGGAGGGCTCCGATACACAGTTACCATTCACGTAGGTGGGAGCATCCCCGATCGGTGTAACGGTAACCACGCTGTCAACATTGTTGATGATGCTGCGTGAAAGTGGATAAAAATGTTTATAATTCTTGATGGAAATATCATTATGTCACGCGATGTATCATAGGATGGTAACTGCATACTGCTGTACACTGTATAGAGGATATATAACAGTGTCTTCAGTAATACCAAATATATTTCACTGATGTGGCTAATATTTTGATATCTTTTACGAGTGTGCAGTAAAAAGTATAACTTTTATAGAATAAACAATTTTCAATATTTCACTGGTAAAAATGTTTTTGGTTTTTTTACTAACACAACACATATTATGGTATTTTTTTTTTACTTAACCCACACTTATTGCAAATTCTTATTGAAACAGAATCAACCTCTTCAAACTAATGTCATTCCCTTGTGGTCGTTATGATTTTATTGTCTAGTCATACTTTCTATAACAGTTAGTATTTCAGGCATTAAGGAAAGGTTCTATAGTACATGTAATGAGGTGTCCTACCAATGGTTGTCGGCAATGAGGGCGCCACTGAGCTGTATTTCGTGGTCCGAGCTGGCACACATGCGTCCGACACGAGTCTGGCCTTCCTTAATGATGTACAGTAACATCTCAGACAGCTGGGGGTCCTCATTCAGGTTCACCAAGTTGGGCTGTTTGTTGTCAACTTTGAATGCCACACCTGATTTCTGGAACATGTAAAACATAATCATAAACAAATAGAAGAGAGGACAGGAACTATCAGTAAGCAATTCACAGTCACCTTAAATCCTAGTCTAATTTTTTTCAGTGTATATTAGTGAAGGAAATAGCAAACTTGTCTATTTTTGACTGTGATCACATGGTGTCTTTCTCCTGATTTCTGTTTAATAAGTACTATAATCCCATTATGAGCACGAGTAAGTAATAGCAGAACGTACCTCTAGTTGCTTAGATTCAGCCACCTTCCTTTCCTCAGACTGTACCAATCGTCGCTGCCAGGACCTGAAATCGTAAACACAGCTTTAGATATAGTGGACAGAAGTGAAGTAGTGATATAGCCTATCCTAGCTTTAGATATAGTGGACAGAAGTAAAGTAGTGATATACCCTATACTAGCTTTAGATATAGGGGACAGAAGTGAAGTAGTGATATCCCCTATACTAGCTATAGATATAGTGGACAGAAGTCATTTAGTGATATACCCTATACTAGCTATAGATATAGTGGACAGCAGTGAAGTAGTGATATAGCCTATACTAGCTTTAGGTATAGTGGACAGAAGTGAAGTAGTGATATGCTCTATACTAGCTTTAGGTATAGTGGACAGAAGTGAAGTAGTGATATACCCTATACTAGCTTTAGGTATAGTGGACAGAAGTGAAGTAGTGATATAGCCTATACTAGCTTTAGATATAGTGGACAGAAGTGAAGTAGTGATATAGCCTATACTAGCTTTAGATATAGTGGACAGAAGTGAAGTAGTGATATAGCCTATACTAGCTTTAGATATAGTGGACAGAAGTGAAGTAGTGATATAGCCTATACTAGCTTTAGATATAGTGGACAGAAGTGAAGTAGTGATATAGCCTATACTAGCTTTAGATATAGTGGACAGAAGTGAAGTAGTGATATAGCCTATACTAGCTTTAGATATAGTGGACAGAAGTGAAGTAGTGATATAGCCTATACTAGCTTTAGATATAGTGGACAGAAGTGAAGTAGTGATATAGCCTATACTAGCTTTAGATATAGTGGACAGAAGTGAAGTAGTGATATAGCCTATACTAGCTTTAGATATAGTGGACAGAAGTGAAGTAGTGATATAGCCTATACTAGCTTTAGATATAGTGGACAGAAGTGAAGTAGTGATATAGCCTATACTAGCTTTAGATATAGTGGACAGAAGTGAAGTAGTGATATAGCCTATACTAGCTTTAGATATAGTGGACAGAAGTGAAGTAGTGATATAGCCTATACTAGCTTTAGATATAGTGGACAGAAGTGAAGTAGTGATATAGCCTATACTAGCTTTAGATATAGTGGACAGAAGTGAAGTAGTGATATAGCCTATACTAGCTTTAGATATAGTGGACAGAAGTGAAGTAGTGATATAGCCTATACTAGCTTTAGATATAGTGGACAGAAGTGAAGTAGTGATATAGCCTATACTAGCTTTAGATATAGTGGACAGAAGTGAAGTAGTGATATAGCCTATACTAGCTTTAGATATAGTGGACAGAAGTGAAGTAGTGATATAGCCTATACTAGCTTTAGATATAGTGGACAGAAGTGAAGTAGTGATATAGCCTATACTAGCTTTAGATATAGTGGACAGAAGTGAAGTAGTGATATACCCTATACTAGCTTTAGATATAGTGGACAGAAGTGAAGTAGTGATATACCCTATACTAGCTTTAGATATAGTGGACAGAAGTGAAGTAGTGATATACCCTATACTAGCTTTAGATATAGTGGACAGAAGTGAAGTAGTGATATACCCTATACTAGCTTTAGATATAGTGGACAGAAGTGAAGTAGTGATATACCCTATACTAGCTTTAGATATAGTGGACAGAAGTGAAGTAGTGATATACCCTATACTAGCTTTAGATATAGTGGACAGAAGTGAAGTAGTGATATACCCTATACTAGCTTTAGATATAGTGGACAGAAGTGAAGTAGTGATATACCCTATACTAGCTTTAGATATAGTGGACAGAAGTGAAGTAGTGATATACCCTATACTAGCTTTAGATATAGTGGACAGAAGTGAAGTAGTGATATACCCTATACTAGCTTTAGATATAGTGGACAGAAGTGAAGTAGTGATATACCCTATACTAGCTTTAGATATAGTGGACAGAAGTGAAGTAGTGATATACCCTATACTAGCTTTAGATATAGTGGACAGAAGTCAAGTAGTGATATGCTCTATACTAGGTCAAACATATAGCCAAGAAAAGTTAAACAAAGTAGTAAAATAATTAAAAGTCAGCACAAAATCTTACGGTACATGGTCTCTCATCAAATCATGGCCCTGCCAGCCTACCTTGTGATTTCCTCCATTTCCCTCTCACGGGTCAGGAGCCTCTCTTTGAGGCTGGCGATCTCCACGAGGCTGGCTGTGTGGGTGTCGTCTGTCATATACACAGAATGGTTCCTCAGCCTCTCTATCTCCGCTCTGAGTTCTGTACGCACAAACATACAATAGATTACAAAGCACACACTTATTTCAAACAATGTTCTCACTAAGTTTTGAAATAGGTGGTTGGCTTGAAAAAAAACACCTGGTTAAATGTTTGAAAAAATCCAAGCATGGAAAATGAACCATGATACCCATAACGACTTGAGGACAGGTGTAACTTTTCATCAATTGTGTATTCCGATATGTCATTATTTGTGAGCGAGACATATGCAACCACATTTAACAAGTTAATAAGATGTCGCCTACAAATTTGATTCATAGTTTTCATCAAAGATATAACATAGCATGTGCTGTATGATTCTTCTCCTCAGTTCAGTATATCTGTTTGTAGTGACTAGGGGTACATTCGCGTATCCAACTGAAACGGTTGAACCTGTAAAGAAAACGACAGGCACAGATTTGGACCGAGGCTGACCTCAGGAAAATTTGGCACGTGTAGATTGAGGGGTCCAGACGTACCTGACCAAAACTAAAATGCTAACTATTGCCAGTTTGCATTTTTTCTTTCTAAAACAATATCAAGCCACATGTAGTTTTTAAGATACGTTATGTAATTCAGTAGACGCATGAAAGAAGGCCATAACATTGTTGATACATTGTTTTTTATTCTCCGAAACTGTGCATTTTTAGCTCTGCTTATAGAATGGTCCAAGTGCGTTCGTTTATCATGGAATGTTTCTGCGCCACACGTACCGTTTCAACCGGGATACGCCAATGTAGCCTAGCTGGTTACTAAACTGACATATGACCCGAACAGTGGAACCTTGTTACACTGACACCATTAGTTAAGCAAAGTTTTGGCATTATAAACAGATTTTGTGATATATATCGAGGGATCATGTCACTAAGAAGTACAGCATACAAGTCACAAACAGAGGTTACTCCCGTGGACTTACCCCGGATGATCTTAGCCTTCGGATCCTCATTGACACGTGCCATGTTGACAATGGACCTGGCCTGGCTGGCATATGTAGGCGGAGTTAAGGCTAATATATCTTAATTGTTCATTGCAATTCTAACAAAATTACAATCTATAGATCCTGTGAGGGGATATCTCATTCTCCCACCCTTCACAAATGTGTCTCCCTTTTAAGCCAGAAAAGATCAGCTTGTCACCTCCTAGGGGGAGATAGCCTTGTGCATAACAAAAGTATGACGTCACGTCATCAATGCATTGACGTCACATCAACAGTACAGCAGACCATGGAAGACAACTCAGGATTTGTTGGGAAAACATGCAACCGATGCTTATATTTCATGCAATCACCGCTTGTCGGCAGATTTGTGAGTGAAACAGGATGGGAGAAGAACACTCATCCCCTACCTTGAGGGTGTGACACAGAAATCTCCAACCCTCAGGATGATATTCTCGAATGTCTTACCTTCGGCAAAGCCTTGAGTAAGACATCAAGACTATCATCCCTCGGGTTGGAGATTTCTCTGTCACACCCTCATGGTGGGATGATTCTATTATTCCATAATTCCTGTGAGGAATATTCAACGTTATACGCATAATGATAAGGATATCGAAGAGTGCTCAGCGTCTCCTCAATGTGTTGAATGGACGGACTGATGGTGGCGATCATGGCTGTCTTTGAGTTGCCTCCCAGACTCTCCTTCAGTAGCCTGCATACAACACACATATCAGTTAGAAAACATATAAACAATGGTATACATATGTATAGCATTGCCACTTCATAATCTTACAAAATCCTCTTAGCAATCATAGGACTATGAATGTCAAGTACTAAGCCAGATCACACTTATTTCCATCCATGTTCAATAGAAAAGACTGGGTATTGACAGCTGTTGTTTTTCACATACAACTTTGCTACAGCCATACACATGTGCTATGCACTGTCCAACGAGTAAGACATTCTAATCATATGGTAGAAATTTGAATTACTAGTTCACTTGCTTATTACCACTACCCAAAACTGACTTTTGTTAAGAGTCATAAGGAATATGAATAGATGACAGATTACAGAAAGTTAAACATAATTGACTTACTGTTTTGTGTGTGGTGTGGGAGGGGGTTGTGGGTAGGTAGTGTAGCGTTGGGATTGGGCTGAAAAAAGGATAGTCTTGGTAATGTGTAAAGACGGGGAGGTTTTGTTGGTGATTGGTATGGAGGAAGCTTAGGTGATATTGTGGGGGTAGGAGAATGGCTTAAGACTACACAGGTAGTGGAGATGGTGTGGGGGTAGGAGTAGTGCTAAGGCTACACAGGTAGTGGAGATGGTGTGGGGGTAGGAGTAATGCTAAGACTACACAGGTAGTGAAAATGATGTGGGGGTAGGAACAGTGCTTAGACTACACAGGTAGTGGAGATGGTGTGGGGGTAGGATTAGTGCTTAGACTACACAGGTAGTGGAGATGGAGTGGGGGTAGGAGTAGTGCTTAGACTACACAGGTCGTGGAGATGGTGTGGGGGTAGGATTAGTGCTTAGACTATACAGGTAGTGGAAATGGTGTGGGGGTTGGAGTAGTGCTTAGACTACACAGGTAGTGGAGATGGTGTGGGGGTAGGAGTAGTGCTAAGACTACACAGGTAGTGGAGATGGTGTGCGGGTAGGAGTAGTGCTTAGACTACAGAGGTAGTGAAGATGGTGTGGGGTAGGAGTAGTGCTTAGACTACACAGGTAGTGGAGATGGTGTGGGGGTAGGAGTAGTGCTAAGACTACACAGGTAGTGAAGATGGTGTGGGGGTAGGAGTAGTGCTTAGACAACACAGGTAGTGGTGATGGTGTGGGGGTAGGAGTAGTGCTTAGACTACACAGGTAGTGGAGATGGTGTGGGGTAGGATTAGTGCTTAAGACTACACAGGTAGTGGAGATGGTGTGGGGTAGGAGTAGTGCTTAGACTACACAGATAGTGGAGATGGTGTGGGGGTAGGAGTAGTGCTAAGACTATACAGGTAGTGGAGATGGTGTGGGGGTAGGAGTAGTGCTTAGAATACACAGGAAGTGGAGATGGTGTGGGGGTAGGAGTAGTGCTAAGACAACACAGGTAGTGGAGATGGTGTGGGTCAGGAGGTGACAGGAGTGATGAGTGAAGAATTATAGGTGGGTAGGTACTGTGGAGGGAGAGGGGTGGTGTGGAAGTTGTTGTGATGGGATCGAGTGTTGTGAGAGATATACGAGGAAGGTTAGGTGGAGTGGTGTTCAGCGGAGTGTGGGGGATGTGGAAGGTGTTGGGAGGTATTTTACTGACCATGTGAGGACAGAGTCCCTGTAGGGGATGTAGGACTTCCTCTTCCTGTTGTTACTGAGGGCCTGGTCAGACAGAGAACTGATCACCTTGCCTAGGGTCAGCAGTGACTTGTTGATATTGGCTCCTTCCTGTCACAGAAATATCATCATGAGCTTTTGTCAAGCACTTCACATTTAAGAAAATAAGCAGTAACTATCTTTAATAAGTGATAATAATCTTACAATAGAAATCTTTATCTAAGGCTTTTCATTTCTGACCTTATTGGTTAGACACTCACCCTTACCCTCTGATACGTGCGGAGTTAAAACATTCATATTTAACCTCTGACCCAATGTGTTAGTCACCCCTAACAGCTAACCAAAGGTACATGACCCTTATTATAAACCTCCGGCCTAAGGTGTTTGAACTTCACCCTTCACCTGCGACCTAACTTAAAGGTAAGACCTTCACCCTTAACCTCTTACCTGAGGTATTAGATACTCACCCTTAACCTTTGACCTGAGGTGTTGGCCTGGGACTGGCGCTCACTGCCAGCAAGGTCGACAAGGTTGATTTTACTGGTGGTTGAATGGTCATGTTCTTCTCCCTCCAGTTCCTCTGTCTGGAAAAACACATAATTAAATCAATACCTGTAATACACAGGAATGGTAATCTTCCTTTACTAAAGTTACACAAAATATTGGTTAGTAGTTTAAATTTGACTCAATATTTTTGTGTGTACTTATATTTCTGCCTTATATGGGTTAGTTACATTTCCAGCCACATTTCCCTGTGACTTTCCTTACACAGGATTTTTAGGGTACACAGATTGGACTGGAAATCAAAGTAGATGGTACTATCCTGTATTAGCTATTCATCAATGGAGACATGGGTGCTGCTGCATACAACATTGGGGGTATTGTTTTAAAAAGTTCAAGGACAAAAACAAATGGTATTAAGGCGAAAAGATTTAAAGGGGTTTTTGGCAATTTTCAAAAAAGCATTATTGAAGTTAAGATTACTCTTCTACATTTATAACAAAAATAATCAAAAATATAATTTATTATCTACCTACCAATTTTTTTCAGACATGTAATAGGAAAAAAATCCACTATTTTTTTGCTTGTTTGGCCTAACTTGTCAAAAAAATATGAGTAAAAAATATTGTTAAACCTATTTTCCCTCAGGGTTATGAATTGGGATAGGAGCAGAAAGGTCATTGAAGCCTTGGGAATAATACATAGTATTCCAATGTATAACCTAAGATAAACATGTTCTTCATCTACATACCAGAATCCCTCAGTAAACATATCGGTATTATCATTAGCATACTGTACAGTTGCTTATTTTCAAAGGGGAAAAGTTCATGGATTAGTAACTAGTGATTCGTGAGATTTTCATTTCACGAATCACCACTACATTAAACAAATATATTTTTATTACTTTTTCCTTTTTTATATACTACATGTAGTAAAATATCATCAAAACACTTCCCCGTGTTTGTGTGAGTACCAGTGTGTAGACACTTCCCCGTGTTTGTGTGAGTACCAGTGTGTAGACACTTCCCGGTGTTTGTGTGAGTACCAGTGTGTAGACACTTCCCTGTGTTTGTGTGAGTACCAGTGTGTAGATACTTACCCGTGTTTGTGTGAGTACCAGTGTGTAGACACTTCCCCGTGTTTGTGTGAGTACCAGTGTGTAGACACTTCCCTGTGTTTGTGTGAGTACCAGTGTGTAGATACTTACCCGTGTTTGTGTGAGGTATCAGTGTGTAGATACTTCCCCGTGTTTGTGTGAGTATCAGTGTGTAGATACTTCCCCGTGTTTGTGTGAGTACCAGTGTGTAGACACTTCCCCGTGTTTGTGTGAGTACCAGTGTGTAGATACTTACCCATGTTTGTGTGAGGACCAGTGTGTAGATACTTACCCGTGTTTGTGTGAATACCAGGGTGTAGACACTTACCCGTGTTTGTGTGAGTACCAGTGTGTAGACAGTTACCCGTGTTTGTGCGAGTACCAGTGTGTAGACACTTACCCGTGGTTGTGTGAGTACCAGTGTGTAGACACCTACCCGTGTCTGTGTGAGTACCAGTGTGTAGACACTTACCTGTGTTTGTGTGAGTACCAGTGTGTAGATACTTACCCATGTTTGTGTGAGGACCAGTGCGTAGATACTTACCCGTGTTTGTGTGAATACCAGGGTGTAGACACTTACCCGTGTTTGTGTGAGGACCAGTGTGTAGACACCTACCCGTGTTTGTGTGAGTACCACTGTGTAGACACTTACCCGTGTTTGTGTGAGTACAAGTGTGTAGACACTTACCCGTGTTTGTGTGAGTACCAGTGTGTAGACACTTACCCGTGTTTGTGTGAGTACTAGTGTGAAGACAGAATGGGACCGGCTACTCTTGTCATTCATCCCAGTAGCAGCTGTGGCCCGGTTCTTGTTTCCCAGGTTAATCCAGCCCTGAGAGTGACAGTGTACATGTTAACATCAATAGTCATCCGTTCATTATAAACAATTAAATATCGAACAATTAGGAGAGGGAGATCTGCCCTTATACAGTAATGTCATTTATAGTGTTTTATATTTACCTCAACATCCTCAAAGGAGTTGGTGACGTAGGTCGATAATCCCTCGACGTAGGGACCGAGGGATGGGTGTTCACGCACTTTCAGCTGTAATACATAACATATGATATGTTTCTCAGGAATAAATATTCAAATCTAGATCGTACACAACCAACTATGCCGTCATATATCTTTTATAACCACAATCATGCCAACTACAGACATGATTAAGCATGAAGCTCAATATCGATACTGAAATATAATGTCATTTTGTGTTAAATATATACAACTTAAAAATGAATATGGAGTAAGCAGGAATCATCAGCAACTGAACTACAGCTTAAGTATAATATTTCCTAATTTGTAGTATACTAGCTTTGTACTTACTGTAGGTTTCTTGCCTCCCTTATCTTTGTACGAGGCCAGCAGGTCATGTATCTTCTCATTGTAGATCTCAAAGAAACTAATCTCAACATTGATCTTCACCTGGATTGAAATATAATATATATGTAGCTTATTAAGTAAGAAAATGTATCTATTCCTTCCACAATACTTAATTTTACCTTTTCAATGACAACATTTTATTTATGCAGGTTGAGATTCATTCATTTTGTTTCACTTTGACCCGTTAAACCATTAACTGATGGACTCTGTAGGCAGTGATCAATCTACACTTTATTTAATGGTCCTTTTCAACTGTACTGCTAAAAACAATGGGTCCCACAATGTTAAATTTCAGTATTTCCAGAAATTCTACGAGTACAATGTATTCTACGAGTATAGGATTTGGGACTTGTGTGTAGATTTATCACTGTGTAAGGAATATCCATGTCTGCTTTGGACTCAAAATGAATACATTCAGTTAAGGTTTATAAAATTTCTACCTGTGTCGAGTACTTTACACATTTAAATACCAGCACAGGTTCTCATTCCGATCCACTGATTACCTGATGAGACGTCACAGACAGTGATTACCCTGTCTGCTACAGGTCGTCAGTAATATGTGTAACAAGACAACATTGTGTATACGATCAATCAACCCAGGAACAATACGTCTGTGGAACCAGAGCTTTCCACACCTGTGATTCTCACTATCGGTCTGAACCAGCTGTTATTTCCATTATCACAAATCTATACATTCTTTTCCTCACAGAATTCTTGTAGTAATTTAATATATTATTATATTGTATGTGTGAATGAATACTTGAATTGTTACAGAAAATTCCAGTGTTTCCTGTAATAACATGTTCATACATAAATCTACATTTAGAAATGTGTGTATTTATAAAGTTAGGGTGTAACAGGTCACTAGGTTATTTTAATAAACCTGTAAGTGTATCCTTTTGATCACAGCATTGTTATCAACACCTGGCAAAGATCCACAGGGTAAACACTATCATTCCGACCTCAAAGTAACGGAGGGTACCACTCGGACTCCAACAGGCAGTGGATTAGGACAGCTCTATCTCATAATCATATTATCAATATTGACCATATTACCTAGACCTCTGGTCGTTATTGACCAAGTTAAAGTGTCTAAGAGATGACCGAAACTAAAGCCAATCTTATGGTGGCATCAACACGTTATCAATATTGTCATTACCTATCAAATGTCTTTGTTTCACTCTGTTCCTCGTTATACTCTGTGAGTAAAATCTTCAGGTTTCTGAGCGAGAAATATCACCAGTTCTCTGGTATATGTAGCAGGATTATCAGAAATAGAACCTCTTTTACTAGATTTCAATATTAAATTCAAAACAAGAGGCCTGTGGGCCTTTACGGTCACTTGAGCTGTAAAACAATTGTAATTTGTTGTTGTGATGTGACAAAAATAAATAGTATAAACCTAAAAATGGCTTTTAATTAACTGTGGTTTGGCAGTATAAAATATTGGTTCTTTTTGTTAGGGTCTTAAAAAGCACCTTATATTTAGGTCATAGGACCTTTCAATCCATGAAGTGGAGAACAGGTGAAAATTTTAACTGTCTATAAGGATGAGCAACGGACAAAGAGTGATTACACCAGGTCAACTAAGATTTTAAAACAACAAATGTCATATTCTGATCCAGGTTCTACGTAAGTAAGTCAACACTGACAGTGACATTAATATTAATGGTTATGTACAACTCACAAATACTATGCAGTGATAAATTTAAAATGCAAGTCCTGAGCCCTATACTCCTAGAACTATGACTTGAATATACTGCCATTTAAAAGGTAGGACCTGTAGTCATTAGAATACATTGGGAGAGGACATAGACAACCTAACAGTAGACTTCCACATGGGAGAGGACATAGACAACCTAACAGTAGACTTCCACAGACCATGTACTTTATACTAATAATATGGTAATTGTATATACTGGTAACCTCATACAGCATAAAGGGGTTATCCTCATAATTAAGTTAATTAATATTTATCTCGTTTTCAATAATGATATTGGACAAACACAAGCCATATAGAAGCTATAAAGTGTATATATTGAAATCAAACAGAAAGTAAATTAAGTCTCTTATAACACAACTGTGTATAAGTTGTGTCTACTAGCTCTTGTGTATTAGTTGTATGCCTGTCCAAATACGTAAATGTTTATAATGAATGATCTTTTAAACCTCAAACGACAAAAATAAATATTATCCCACTAGAACTTTTAACATGTTTTCCCTAATAAAAGTAATGAGATCTGTTGTAATAATTCCAATGACTGCCGGTGTCCTATAAAATTTCCATCCCCGTGAAATACTCATCCGGATGGATATTTTATGCATAAAATACTCATCCGGATGAATATTTAATGCATTAAATACTCATCCCCCCCATAAAATATTCATCCCCCCTAAAAATTATCATTTTTTTTTACACAAATACAAACTTTATAGCATTATTACATCATGTTACCTGTAATACATGGTTCCTGTATGTCTATCCAGGTAATTATAATACACAGGGTGTCACCTGTGTGGGGACTGGGACCCTGGGGGCTTATCAATACAGGTGAGAGATAGGTGACACTGCATGGTGACCAGCACACAGGTGTGGCTCAGCTTTACACAGGAAAATAAACAGCCTTATAATGAATGATAGTTAAACAAAGAAATACACTGAAGTTTAAAAAACATTAAAATCTTAAGTTTTGATAATTCACAAAAGGTTATAATAATGCAACTTGCATTGGTACTGATCTGAATGCTGAATTTTGTAGAGTGTATTCTGAAAAGAAGTGTTATGTTTAAACTTTCTTGATATCACAGTTGATTTCTGACATTTTAATATATCAACCTCCATCTTCCCCAACAANATGACAGGTGTCGATCACGTACAAAAACAAACAATCAGAACGAAAACTGGTGACACTGTTACCTGTTTACCAAGGTAATTGCCAAAAGATTCAATATTGATAATGACTAGAATTCTAAACATTGTAGGTGTGACTCAGATTTGGTTGCTTATACGTAACAACTTCAGAGCCACGATTTAAATTTGTGTTCCTTAATTTGACAACCCTACGTGTTCTGATGCCGTTTTATGCTGGTGTTGAAACTTTCTATTAATTCACTTGATAATTGACAGTCTATGGTCTTTGACATTGCTTATATATATCAAACTAATTATCATTCAGTCTTAAACTGTGACCAATGCAATTTTTCACAATGACATAATTTTATTGAACAGGACTTCAACAACAACGTAGTGTGATCGGAAACCCTCCTGTCACTGTTGTATAGAGACAATAGTCCAATATGGTGTACCAGTACTTTTTATTTCTTATGTTAAATATGGCATGACACCCCTCGATACTTTGTGGTGATGTCAGGTTATATTTACACAAAACCATTAAAGTGTCACACTTGAGACATACAAATGATTCTATAACATCTCTGTAAATGAACGGTCCGTATCAAGGAATCGTAAGAATTTTGTCATTAGTTCTACCGTGTAGATGAGAGTAAACCTAACTGACAGAGTTATAGGGGACTGGTTTATAATGGCTTCGGCCCACCCTATAATGAGCAGCGTTAACGATAGTTAAAGGGTAGTATTGTGTGTCCCTTCAACACAATGACCAAATACCTGGACAGATTACTGGGACAGAGGCTTAGCTACCATAAACACTGGATCAGGCTAATAATAATTCATAAATATTACCGGCTCTGAACAAGACTCCTAGACCAGTTACTTGTATATATAAAAAAATATTAATAGTTCCATCACTGAAATTTATCAGTAAATCTTGAAATTGTATGTAAATTATTCATATAAATAATAGATTTTTTCTTATCTAATTTAACGTGTTTCTATCACTGAAATTATCTAGCAAATAATATATTCTTAATAGATCATCTTTTTCTAAAGTTAAATAATAATTTAGGTAGACATATATTTATGGTAGGGAGCTATTAATAGAGATCTAGAGAGAACTGTAAAAGTATACTCCATCATTACATCACAATCTTCTTGGTGTTCTTAAAAACATTCTAATTAAATCACAACAATTCCTTATAATTAATGACTGAATTAAATCTTTGGACTTCGGATACATGTATATCTACATATCACCCTAGACACACATGACACATATACTGTAAACTGGCCAACCTTACACAGGCCGACAACCTTACACAGGCAGACAACCTTACACAGGCAGACAACCTTACACAGGCAGACAAACTTACACAGGCAGACAACCTTACACAGGCAGACAAACTAAGTGACAGATACACAGGCAGACAAACTAAGTGACAGATCTAAAGATGTTGTAAGAATTAAGAACAATGATCATGACTCTATTTCATAATATGTCGATGTAAAATGTCAGTTGAAGCTGTTTTATGCAACAAATTAATTGAGGGTGAAAACCCAGAGCTAAGGAAAATATGAATTTAACGTACAAAAACAATGGTAAACCTTTACTATAAACTACAATAATTCTATCTTTACAAAGTTCCATACACTGGGTCGTTGGTGCACTCGTACCATTACTGATCCTGGTTTAGGAGCAGACAATGACACGGGCATCTCTTGATCAACTCTACCTCTGTACAGTGTTGACATAATAACAAAGGACACTTCGTATGTAGGTGTATCAATGGAGTTGTTTTGTGTTACAATATCTCTTTATGTGTAGTTTACTATTACAAAACAATTCCCAAATGTTGAAAACCATTGAATAATCAGTCTTGTATTATAATGAGATCTGTTCATACCTAGCTGCCAAAATACTAGCCTGTAAGATGATCACCAACAAAGGGCATTAGATAGTACAAAACATTTTATGAGTCAGTTCTGTGGGGTAAAGTGTTCCCAAACAGACTTGATTCATTCCATCACAATCAGTTGTTTGGGGTGAAGTTCCCAAGCTTAATTCATTCTATCATTTAGTACTAGTTTTGTAGAGTGTAGTGCTTTTGACAAGGGTCTAGTTCATTCTATCGTTATTACATGTAGTAACTATGTTAATGGTCTTCAGTCAGACTTGTAACTATGTTAATGCTTCAGTCAGACTTGTAACTATGTTAATGGACTTCAGTCAGACTTGTAACTATGTCAATGAACTTCAGTCAGACTTTTAACTATGTCAAAGAACTTCAGTCAGACTTGTAACTATGGCGAAGAACTTCAGTCAGACTTGTAACTATGTCAAAGAACTTCAGTCAGACTTGTAACTATGTTAATGGTCTTCAGTCAGACTTGTAACTATGTCAATGAACTTCAGTCAGACTTGTAACTATGTCGAAGAACTTCAGTCAGACTTGTAACTATGTCAATGAACCTCAGACCTGCAACTATGTTATAATGTCATCCGTCTGACCTTTCACAGCCCACAGCAGGAGGAAATGGGTTAATATTTATCCCAACTTAACATACAATGTTTAATTGAAACCCATTTCATTATTTTCTGAGATTGAACCCTAACAGATTTAAAGTACAGCAATCCAGGCATAAACCAATAAGCCAGTGTATAAGTAGACTGTCACAGATAATACCAGAACTGATTTCTATTGAATTCAAAACACCAGAATTTCTAATTAGTAAGGTTTGATTACAGTAGGGCAGACATCAATACTTGTACAATGGAAACCCATTAAGCCTGAATACATCATTCATCTTCATGTGTAACTAAATGCCTGGCCCATCTTCGTGTGTAACTAAACGCCTGGCCCATCTTCGTGTGTAACTTAACGCCTGGCCCATCTCCGTGTGTAACTAAACGCCTGGCCCATCTTCATGTGTAACTAAACGCCTGGCCCATCTTCGTGTGTAACTAAATGCCTGGCCCATCTTCGTGTGCAACCAAACGCCTGGCCCATCTTCGTGTGTAATTAATTGCCTGGCCCATCTTCAAGTGTAACTAAACGCCTGGCCCATCTTCGTGTGTAACTAAATGCCTGGCCCATATTTTTGTGTAACTAATCGCCTGGCCCATCTTCGTGTGTAACTAAACGCCTGGCCCATCTTCGTGTGTAACTAAACGCCTGGCCCATCTTCGTGTGTAACTAAACGCCTGGCCCATCTTCGTGTGTAACTAAACGCCTGGCCCATCTTCGTGTGTAACTAAACGCCTGGCCCATCTTCGTGTGTAACTAAACGCCTGGCCCATCTTCGTGTGTAACTAAACGCCTGGCCCATCTTCGTGTGTAACTAAACGCCTGGCCCATCTTCGTGTGTAACTAAATGCCTGGCCCATCTTCGTGTGAAACTAAACACCTGGCCCATCTTCGTGTGTAACTAAACGCCTGGCCCATCTTTTTAGCCCAGAGATGTACATAGGGTTCATTTGGGTAGCCAATAAACTTCTGTCCAACTCAAAGTTATACTCACACCCACTATAACTGTATTTATGTCCACATATCTGTTACATAGTCATCCTAAAGAAATAACCCTGAACATCTGGGAGTGACATGACCAGCTTTTATCTCACTGACAGCTATTTTTCTAAGGATTTCTTAATGATATCAATCAAACCGTATTCCATGTAGCAAACAGTTTACCCATCACAACTTTATTACAATGTAAACTGATCAAATGAGGGAAAATTTAATTTGAACAAATCAAGAAACTTGGCAGGTTATTTTGTGTTGATTTTACTATAATTTTGTTTGCAACTTAATGAAAATCCTACTTTTAATTATAAACCTGATTTTTTCCAATCCTGGAAATACAAATTGTAGTAAAATATATTCCCAATCAAAATAGAGATAGCGCAGCTTTGAAAACAAAACAGGAGTTGCAAAATGTACAGTGTATATATATCCATATTTAAAAGAAGGAAGCCCAGACTACATCATATAGGGATGTTGATCTTTATGTTGTCTGGTCATCTCTCCTTTTAATTTCTATTACTCTTATGGCCGGACTAGTGAATTCCATTACTCTTATGGCCAGACTAGTGAATCCCATTACTCTTATGGCCGGACTAGTGAATCCCATTACTCTTATGGCCAGACTAGTGAATTCCATTACTCTTATGGCCGGACTAGTGAATTCCTTTACTCTTATGGCCGGACTAGTGAATTCCTTTACTCTTATGGACGGACTAGTGAATTCCATTACTCTTATGGCCGGACTAGTGAATTCCATTACTCTTATGGCCGGACTAGTGAATTCCATTACTCTTATGGCCGGACGAGTGAATTCCATTACTCTTATGTCTGGACGAGTGAATTCCATTACTCTTATGGCCGGACTAGTGAATTCCATTACTCTTATGGCCGGACTAGTGAATTCCATTACTCTTATGGCCNGAATTCCATTACTCTTATGGCCGGACTAGTGAATCCCATTACTCTTATGGCCGGACTAGTGAATCCCATTACTCTTATGGCCGGACTAGTGAATTCCATTCAGGAATCCATCAACTGGGGTACGCAGACCTTCACTGAACATCCATTAGCGAATGTTGGATCTCATTTTTCCTTGTATTTGTAGTATCCATATTTGTTAAAAATATAGATAATTTAAGTATTATGAATTTGTGTTTAAGGTGCTCTGAAGCAATTCACATTTGTTCATCGACCAAATAAAACTTTAAGGTTTTATTTTCTCTGAATTGTTTAAATTGAGTATAGTGGGTTTTTTATGTCATTCTATACAAAACATTTAATGTCCTCTATATTTTTTGAGGACTTGTGAAAATTTGGTCTAATCTAGATTTCCATCCGTGATTTTCTTAACTAAGGTACAGCAGTACACAAGTAGTAAATGAACGATCCTCACCTTGTCCGAGTCCCTTGTAACATCTGCCCTACAGAACAGCTCTTCACAGAATCGCGGGATGATGCCAACCTCATTGCCGTGACCCATGATGCTACAATTATATTTAAGACATTGTAAATCATAGATAAAATTGTTTCCTAGTTTTCCACTCTGTTTTCAAATGTTCCACAATCTTTTTTATTAATTAAATTTGTTGTACATCAAACATTTCTTGTACAAATTCTAACACAGATAATTGAAATATGACAAATCTTGAAAGATAGAAGTGATTTTTACACTGTAACTGGACTTCATAAATGATGCTATGTACAGGAAAGCCTGCTTATCCTAGATTTAGTTTTGGTGTTTACTGTTGAGTGTTTCTGACAGGTGAAGGGTATTACCTGTAACTTTTGCCACTTCCTGTTTGTCCATAAGCAAACAAACAGGTGTTGTAGCCCTCGAAGGCCTTCCCTAACAGAGGCTGGGCGAGGAGGCGGTACACCTGCTCCTGACTAGCATAGTCGCCTAGGTTACTGTCCAGAGAGTTGAAGGCATAGTCGTAGGCAAACTTGTGAACGGTACCAGAACCTGAGGTCACCAACGCTTCATTTCCAGACATTGAAACCACACATTTGGACAAATGGTCACCTATCTCTCTGGTAAATAAAATACATCACAACAGATTACCCAATGATTAGAACTTGTTACATGAAAACCACAAGAACTGATACAATGGAAATATTCGATAATTAACTACAATGTAATTATAAGGTCCGGATTAACTTAAGTATAGGATGAAACTATTCATAAAACTATAAAAAAAAAAACACACTCTATACTACAACATAAAAAGACTTTGGATCAGTGTAGCAATCAAGACAAAAAATCATGTTTTCAACTATATACTGTAGCTACAGAATACAATTGTCACACACACACAAGGAATGCTCCACTCACTAAATATGCATAAACACTGCCACCATAATGTAAGAATTTAAGTATGCCCTTCAATAATTAAGTAATAATAAGTAACTAGTGCCAAAACCATTCTTTCAGGATAAAATAAATATTCTGGTGTGTTTTCTTGAGTTTTAAAACATTTCCAATCATACTAGATTTGAAGAATGGTATATTCAAATATCAGAAGTTTGGACCTTACCAAGGAGTAAGTTATTATTTTCTCAACAAATGTAACATGTCTTCCAAAATCTTTTCAACTCAAAGTAAATGAAATCAGGATTACACTATGATTTAATACTATTTTTGATTATTCAAGACATTGTGTAATCTACTTTGCTGCAATGGTAATTATAATAATGTGAATTATGCAGGGTATCCACAAATATGTAAAGCTACAATATCATGTTGAAATACTTCCATTTTAGAAACTGACCTTGGTTTTTAAATCATATTTTTCCGTTTACTATGCACATGTATAAAATATGTTTTAACTCAAAATATTGTATTAAAGCACAAATATGTCTATATTGTTGTTAATACATATTACAATACTTGTATATATCCTTTGGCTAGTTATTGGGTAAGTGTAAGCAGCTTAGTTTACCAAGGAAAGGTCATGACCAGTCTCCTACACCACTTTATATAAGACTGTGATCCATGTGCTGGGTAGCATTTATACTCAACATCCTTCTGTTCCTGCAGCTATTGCTCTTATATATGTTACCAAAAATGCTAACCATAATCACTATATCCTACAGCTACTTTAACATAATACATGTACAAATGAAAATTAATATAGTTTACTCATTTCTATTTCAAACATTTAATTACAATTCATAACATCGGTACATATATACTAGTACTGGAGTACATGCAGTGTAGTTTAACAAAAAGTGAGAGCAGTCTCGAGCTCCAAGACCTGTAAATTGCTCACACTCAGATTTGGGCTTAAATCATATTTTAGAAGGTACTTTAGATATTACAGGCACTTAGAGTAAAAGCTCTAGGGGTTATCCCATGATTTATCAGACAGAAACCATTCGTGCGACCATCGACGGAATGAACCTAAATAATACCTTTGCTTCACAGGCAACACTTAAACTGCAGTTAATACACCATGAAATTTTGAATGTGTATTACAGCCAGATATACTATTTACAAACCTCTGCAGAAAGGGTCGGATCCTGACAGCCACTGTAACACTGCTGCTGTCCTCCTCCTCATCCAGCCGCATCAAATCGCTGCGGAACTTGTCATAAGACATCTGATACTGTGGGAGATCCATCTGCACCGCTGAGTAACATTCCGGGGTGCTGAGGAACTTATTATCCAGTGTGAACCTCCTTGATGGTGTTGACTTCATCCCGGGACTATAGTCTCCCACGATACTGGTTGAATCTACATGCCCCTCTACTGTGACCCTCCGAGACTGTTTTACTGGAGTTAAAAAGGAGTTGTCTGGTGTTTTACAATAATCTGATCTTACCTCCCCAGTTGCTGTCCATGCATTTTTTCCATTCCTAGAAACTGTTATTTTTGCATCACATTCATCCTTTCTGCTGAAGTCACTCGTAGTAATTGTAATTTTCTTATCGCATGCCTCATGATCCCTACCAGTACTTACTGTTACTCTCTTTTCAACTTTAAACTGGTTGTCATTTAAGTTTTGCTCTTTAGTTGGTTCAATATTTTCTTTACCACTTGGGTCAATACTTGGGTCAATATTTGACAGCACAGTGACAGAACCCTTGTCTCCTCTGTCAATAAACAGAGACACGCTTAGTGGGTCAGGTTTTATGTGACCGATCGATTTTGTACCACCCACGGAAGTTTCCATTATTTCAGCATTAAAAGATACAGCTCTTGTACCAGGAGTACATCGGTCTCGTATGTCAGCGGGTAAGGTCGGCAACAGCCGTTTACCTCTCGCCTTGCTGCGTGGTGTATCCATATTTTCAAACGGCGCACACAACTTTTTTACAGAAATTTTCTCCAAATGTATTTCATGTGGTACCACATTGGTAGGAGTTATGCATGCACATCATAAGACCGAAAGTAAACACACATGCATGCATAGAAATCGTTTAGAACAGTACACCACTTGATACGTATCCTATTGAAATCAGTCGTGTCAGATCATCGGTTGGTAAACAACAAAACAGTGAATGAGGACCAACAGGTGCTCGTTTTCAACGCTAGTCTACAGGCACATGCATATTACAGCAATAAATTTCTCTTCGTGCATTTTCTTACGCATAAAAACAGGTCAGGTCGACGGTTTGGGATTACTAAGGTGTATTAATGTGTTGGTTTAATCCGATGAGGATTAAAATGTTTCAAAAATCCCTCGTCGGCTTCCCGCTATGGCGTAAATCAAATGTAACGCGGTGTTTGATTGGCTGATTTTATAACTTATGTTACTTGTAACAAGCGATTCAGTTAATGTAAAGGTATCGTCACTGAACCCTTTACAAAGTAGCACACGCGCCAGAATTAACGTGTTGAAAATAATCAACTTTTCTCCAAAAAATCAATTTCCTTACTGACTGCATATATCATATTTCAACACCATTTTTTTCCAGTTTAAATGCCGTCTTTTTATTTAATCAAATCAAGTTATAACGGAATTAATCCAGAGACGTATACATTGCATTGATTTTTCAACGGACTCAATCTAAATCCGTGATTTTTCTTAAAATATTTTTAATGCAAATACAAATTTTAATACGATTCTTTGTCTAAAAAGTCGGCATTAAAACTGGGGGGGGGGGGGAATGAATTGGTGTTGAATTCAAACAGTGTCTGAATTAAGCTATCGTTTGTCTTAGTGTTAATTTTGAAGTAACACAGATATTGAAAAAAAAACACCATCTTATTTATGAATAATGCCAAACAATGGACTTAAGATTCCTACCTTATCATTTTATAAAGTTACTTAATTAAAACAATATAGCTACATTTTTTATTAATTAAGTTAGTCATTCCTTTAGTGCTATCATAGAATTAGATAAATCCGCCGTGCTATTATTTAACTAGCTGTTAGAAAAGAGGGCAATTTCTAATATTCTGGACTCTATCAATGTATAACTGACCTTTTTGAGGAAATCTTGGCGGTCGAAATATCTGGTGGGTGTGTTTCTCCTTCATTTTATGAATGGTGACTTATTCCTTCTATGTCCGCGTGGTGCACATGTATCGCTCGCAGTGGTCGCATTAAAACTGAGCAAAACTGCCACTAGCTCTTTCCTTTAATTTCTTGAAACCTCGGGGTATTGTCATAAAGCTACATGTGGATTGTCACCTGTCGCCATTCCAATTAACTACCTGTACAAGTGTACTCCTACATGTACACGTGTTAGTTGATAATGGACAGATATACAGCTGCCGCCCACTCCCCATCCCAACACACCGTGTCCATTCAGGTACCTATAGTATCCCTATAGCCGGCCCATTAGGGGCATAATCTATTGAATCACTTACCTGACTTACCTGTGGTGCGAGATGACCGTTATTACGTAACAAATCCTCTATTGCGTGACCAATTAAGTCCGATTAGGGGTGATCCTTGTCGCCTGGAAGTTCCCAATTAGGTCACACATGTATGTAACGACACGGGCTTGACTCTCCAGAATAAACAAGAAAATTATACCGTTTCCTTCTCAGGCTCCAAGCGCCATAAATTTTCACAAACAAAAAGTGTCATTACAAACATCGGTCTCCATATTAAAAGTTCTCAAAATCGTTTTATTACAACACGCATGTCACATAAAAAATATTCTTCTCCCTAGACGGGGGATGACCCATTCAAACGACGTTCTTGAAAACCAAGTTAAATAAAATAAAATAAAAAATAGGTTAACAGAGATGTATACCGCCAGTATGCATACGTACAGAAAGGAAGATCATAAAATATAAAAAATATTATTCTTATTGGGGGAAATTCAACTTATAGAAAAATAAAAAAAAAAAAAAAATAAAACACAATTAATATGTAAAAATAACCCTGCATGCTATAAACATGGACGTAAAAACAATCCTGTAATAAACCAATACACCAGTAATAACTATATTAGTCTTTATTTAACTACACTATTAGCCATAGTCAAAATATTAAAAAAGTATTCGTTGCATCAAAATCTAGATAATTTTGTTGAAACTGGAATCTTTCGAAAGAAAAGTGATTGGAAAACCACAGTATATAATTCTGTAATGAAATATGAGGGACACAATCTAAATTTACAAGGTTTCGAGAAATACATAACCAACTCAAACCTAATACTTTATGGAAGCTAGCGCTTCGATTTCCTCAATACAGAGAATATATACAATATATAATGACAATAGTTGTAACCATCCGTAGCTTGACTACCAGGAAATTATGTCATAAATGTGGGTTTTTATATCAAGACCCAATGACACATCTAGTGCTACAGTGTACTTATACTTCCGAGTTGAGGGACCAACTATGGTGCTGTATAATTAATATCAAGGATATACTGTTTAGTGTCTATTTACACTCTCTCCCAGATCTTGAGATATTATACCAAATGATTGGAGGAAATTTACCTAACAAAATTAGTGAAGAAGAGTTGAATGATTTCAGGATAAAATCCATCATTTATGTGTACAAGATGTGTAAACTAATAATTATACTTAATGTATATAATAGTTATGATTAAAAGTTAAATACATACATATCTAATGTAGAATGTTATATAAGTTATGTGTACTTAGCAAAAGATATCACATGAGATACTATATGAACTATACTACAGATTATGATGCATGGGATTATACATGTGTGGGCCCGTAACACCTCGCAGGTAGGGATACCCCCGCACCCACCCTTGTGTGATCCAGACCCACAAATGTATCCTCCGCGTTTATAGTTTGTATGTTACAAAACTAAAACTAAACAATAAATGTCTTTATTGCATGTTTTTACAAATACAACGATACATTGATGTCTATACATAGTCATGTATCAGTATTACGTACCACGTATCAATACAATTTATTATAATTTCCTTGGCTTGTGCAAATCAATTTACAATCTGTATATTGAAACTTTTTAGGTTTACTTTAAAATATTTTATTATTTTACACTTTATATATTTATGTAATGCATATTATGTATTCGTGTATATATGTACCAAATACTTTGTATATATGTTCCACATTACTTTGTAATCTTCATCTTTGGAGGCAATAAAGAGAATAATTAGTTATTTTTATTTGATAACAATACAGTAATACATATATTTAACTACACTAACTGAACAATAATACAATTTCAATCAGTGAATTAGAAGACTGGGACAATAAACGGGATGGAAATGTCACATTTGGACATGTTTTGATAGAGTGACCCACATGTATAACAACTAAGCCTACGTATGGTTATAGATTTTTTAACGCCAACTCGTACATATTTCACACCTTTTGTGTACATACAAATCTAACTGGTTGTGCCACATAAAACTTTTTGCCCAATCCCTTTTGTATAATAAATGCAAATGAAAAATATGTTTAAATAATTATTTTTTTTCTTCTACAATTCATCTTACCAACCTGAAGAACAATGTTTAGAAAAAGCCCAAGGCTAATCTACTAGATACGGTCACCAGACTACTTAAACTGGTTCATAAACAGAAACAAAGTATTGGTGATACTGTCTTAATTTCAATCAGATTATAGTGAAAGACTATATTCATATTCAAATTTATTTTTTAATGGGAATTCCCATGTAGGTACAGGACGTCATAATGATAAACTCCATGTAAATATAGGCACAGTTCGTCATAATGATAAAATCAATGTAAATATAGGTACAGTAAGTCATAATGATAAACTACATGTCATAATGATAAACTCTATGTGAATATAAGTACAGTACTTCATAATGATAAACTCGATGTAAATATAAGTACCGTACGTCATAATGATAATCTCCATGTAAATATAAGTTCAGTACGTCATAATGACAAGCTCCATGTAAATGTAGGGACAGTACATCATAATGATAAACTTCATGTAAATATAGGTACAGTACGTCATAACGATAAACTCCATGTAGGTATACAGTACTCATAATGATAAACTCCGTGTCATAATGATAAACTACATGTCATAATGATAAACTACATGTCATAATGATAAACTTCATGTAAATGTCGGTATACAGTACTCATAATGATAAACTCGATGTAAATATAAGTACAGTCCGTCATAATGATAAACTACATGTCATAATGATAAACTCAATGTAAATATCGATATACAGTACGTCATAATGACAAGCTCCATGTAAATATAAGCACAGAACGTCAACATGAGAAACTCCATGTAAATATCGATATACAGTACGTCATAACGATAAACTCCATGTACATGTCGGTATAGAGTACGTCATACTGATAAGCTCCATGTAAATGTAAGTACAGTACGTCATAATGACAAGCTCCATGTAAATATAAGCACAGAACGTCAACATGAGAAACTCCATGTAAATGGCGGTATAGAGTACGTCATACTGATAAGCTCCATGTAAATATAGGCACAGTTCGTCATAATGATATACTCCATGTAAATATCGGTATACAGTACGTCAAAATGATAAACTCCATGTCAATGTAGGTATACAGTACGTAATAATGATAAACTCCAAGGCATAATGAAGGATAAGCAACAGGGAAGATTACTGTAATGTAGAAGAATAAGCACCAGGGGAGACTACTGTGTGCGAGAAGGATAAGCAACCAGGGAGCCTACTGTGTGGGAGAAAGATAAGCAACAGGAGACTACTGTGTGGAAGAATGATAAGCAACAGGGGAGATTACTGTTTTGGAGAAGGATAATCAACAGGGGAGACTACTGTGTGCGAGAAGGATAAGCAAGAGGGGAGACTACTGTGTGAGAGAAGGATAGGCAACAAGGGAGACTACTGTGTGGAAGAATGATAAGCAACAGGGGAGTCTACTGTGTGGGAGAAGGATAAGCAAGAGGGGAGACTACTGTGTGCGAGAAGGATAAGCAACTGGGGAGACTACTGTGTGAGAGAAGGCTAAGCAACAGGAAGATTACTGTAATGTAGAAGAATAAGCACCAGGGGAGACTACTGTGTGCGAGAAGGATAAGCAACTGGGGAGACTACTGTGTGCGAGAAGGATAAGCAACAGGGGAGATTACTGTTTTGGAGAAGGATAATCAACAGGGGAGACTACTGTGTGGCAGAAGGATAAGCAACTGGGGAGACTACTGTGTGGGAGAAGAATAAGCACCAGGGGAGACTACTGTGTGAGAGAAGGCTAAGCAACAGGAAGATTACTGTAATGTAGAAGGATAAGCAACAGGGGAGACTACTGTGTGGCAGAAGGATAAGCAACAGGGCGATTACTGTAATGTAGAAGGATAAGCAACCAGGGAGCCTACTGTGTGGGAGAAAGATAAGCAACAGGAGACTACTGTGTGCGAGAAGGATAAGCAAGAGGGGAGACTACTGTGTGAGAATAGGTACAGTACGTCATAACGATAAACTCCATGTAGGTATACAGGACGTCATAATGATAAGCTCCATGTAAGTAAATATAAGTACAGGACGTTATAATGATAAACTCCAAGGCATAATGAAGGATAAGCAACATGGAAGATTACTGTGTGGGAGAAAGATAAGCAACAGGAGACTACTGTGTGCGAGAAGGATAAGCAACTGGGGAGACTACTGTGTGAGAGAAGGCTAAGCAACAGGAAGATTACTGTAATGTATAAGGATAATCAACAGGGGAGACTACTGTGTGAGAATAGGTACAGTACGTCATATTGATCAACTCCATGTCAATGTAGGTATACAGTACTCATAATGATAAACTCTATGTGAATATAAGTACAGTACGTCAAAATGATAAACTCCATGAAAATATAGGTACAGTACGTCATATTGATCAACTCCATGTCAATGTAGGTATACAGTACGTAATAATGATAAACTCCAAGGCATAATGAAGGATAAGCAACAAGGCAGACTCCTGTGTGAGAGAAGGATACCAGGTAAATATAAGTACAGTACGGCATAATGATAAACTCAGTGTCATAATAATAAACTCCGTGTCATAATAATAAACTCCATGTAGGTATACAGGACGTCATAATTATAAACTCCATGTAAGTATAAGTACAGTGCGTCATATTGATAAACTCCATTTAAATATAGGTACAGTAAGTCATAATGATAAACTTCATGTAAATATAGGTGCAGTACGTCATAATGATAAGCTCCATGTAAATATAAGTACAGGACGTTATAATGATAAACTCCGTGTCATAATAATAAACTCCGTGTCATAATGATAAACTCCGTGTCATAATAATAAACTCCGTGTCATAATAATAAACTCCGTGTCATAATAATAAACTCCGTGTCATAATGATAAACTCAGTGTCATAATAATAAACTCCGTGTCATAATGATAAACTACATGTCATAATGATAAACTCGATGTAAATATAAGTACAGTCCGTCATAATGATAAAATCAATGTAAATATAGGTACAGTACGTCATAATGACAAGCTCCATGTAAATGTAGGTACAGAACGTCATAATGATAAAATCAATGTAAATATAGGTACAGTACGTCATTCCATGTAAATATAAGTTCAGTACGTCATAATGACAAGCTCCATGTAAATATAAGTTCAGTACGTCATAATGATAAACTCTATGTGAATATAAGTACAGTATCTCATAATGATAAACTACATGTCATAATGATAAACTACATGTCATAATGATAAACTACATGTCATAATGATAAACTCCATGTCATAATGATAAACTCCATGTAAATGTCGGTATAGAGTACGTCATAATGATAAGCTCCATGTAAATGTAGGTATACAGTACGTCATAATGATAAGCTCCATGTAAATGTAAGTACAGTACGTCATAATGATAAACTCCATGTCAATGTAGGTATACAGTACGTCATAATGATAAACTCCATGTGAATGTAGGTACAGTACGTCATAATGATAAACTCCATGTCATAATGATAAACTCCATGTAAATGTAGGTACAGTACGTCATAATGATAAACTCCAAGTCATAATGAAGGATAAGCAACAGGGGAGACTACTGTGTGAGAGAAGGATAGGCAACAAGGGAGACTACTGTGTGAGAGAAGGATAAGCAACAAGGGTGACTACTGTGTGAGAGAAGGATAAGCAACATGGAAGATTACTGTGTGAGAGAAGGATAAGCAACCAGGGAGACTACTGTGTGAGAGAAGGATAAGCAACAAGGGAGACTACTGGGTGGGAGAAGGATAAGCAACAGGGGAGACTACTGGGTGGGAGAAGGATAAGCAACAGGGGAGACTACTGTGGGAGAGAAGGATAGGCAACAAGGGAGACTACTGTGTGAGAGAAGGATAAGCAACAGGGGAGATTACTGTTTTGGAGAAGAATAAGCATCAGGGGAGACTACTGTGTGGCAGAAGGATAAGCAACTGGGGAGACTACTGTGTGGGAGAAGGATAAGCAACAGGGGAGACTACTGTTTTAGCCAGATCGTCAAACAGGATTTTTCACAATATTTACTCATGTGCTGAGTACAAAAATAGACTAGCTTTCGTTGTGTAGACACAGATTGGTAATGGCCAAAAATGAAGTTTTTTTTTTTATTTAAATGTGAAGCCCACATAATCCAATTCATCATGTATATTTAACATTTGATACATGTAATATTACAGGGGTTATTCATTGTACAAAAATAGTCAGTCAGTCTAGTGAAGTTTATAGGAATTATTTCTGATGTTATTTTCCATTACCAGGATTGACCACAAACAAATGACAAACTGGTAACCATTAATAGTGTTGTTTTTATTAAAAATGTTTAATAAACATACATGTATCCTAATTCAATATCAGTTATTTCATTTTTTGACATGATTCAGTAAAATATAGGATTGGGGTGGTCAGGTGGTGCAGTGGATAGCACACTTGCCTTTCACCAAGGTGGCCGGGGTTAGATTCCCCAATCGGACGTGAAAAGGTTTAGAGTAACCTGCCAGACCACATGGGTTTTCTCCGGAAACTCTGGTTTCTTCCCACACTAAGACCCCCACACGCTAACATCCGGGCCAACAAGAATGATTAATATAAGCTGAATTAACTTGTTTCATAATTGTAAAATAAATAAAAAATGAATATTTTTATTTTTTAAATATAAGATTCATTTCTTCTAAATACATTGTCTCAGTATGTTAACTAGACATCAGAACCAAGTTTCAAGATGTCAGGAAATCACTGATTGTAACACCACAATGCAAAGTTGTTTTTATTGTGACATCATTATGTCTCCCCTTCGAATGCAGTGCACTGGAATTAGGTCACTGTGACCTTCACCTCAAGGTCAAAGGTCAAATAAGTGCACATTTTCAGTAAATTCTTGTCCGGCCCGTAAATTTCAAACCGTTAAAAGATATCTTAATCTAACTTGAAGTATACCTGAATCATCCACAGAAGGTGTGCAGTGCACTGGAACTAGGTCTCGTGCCCCACTTTAAACATAGTTATGGCCCTTTGTTTAGTTTGTTTGTGCATAAGTTCTATGTTATTTCACCTACGTTGACCATACTTACCATATTGATGTATTTTGGGAAGGCGGAATTTCTCACACTAAAATCAGATTTTAGGCCCCACTATATACAGAGTTATGGCCCTTTGTTTATTTTTAATACCAAGGTTAGTCCACGGCATAGCTTCTAAACCATTAAAGATATCTTAATCAAAATTGATGTCTACCTGCATCACTCACAGAAGGTGTGCAGTGCACTGGAATTAGGTATCGTGCGTCACTTTATACAGAGTTATGGCCCTTTGTTTATTTTTAATACCGAAGTTTGTCCACGGCATAACTTCCATGTTATCAGGGCCCCGCATCTGCCCTATACTAATTCATCTGTCCGTCCGTCATAATCAAACAAGGTATCAAGGTCACTGGATCAAATATCAAGGTCAAATTTTGTATCTATTCCCTGATGAACATTTTGTTATGACATTTTGAACAAAGTTGGTTGGAATTTAACAAAGAGTCAACTGACTTAAGGTCAAGGTCACTGGGTCTATTTCAAGGTCAGATATTTTATCTTTTTACTGATGAACATTTTTTGTATGTTATTATGAAGCAAAGTTGTTCGGAACTTAACACGGAGTCAACTGACCAAAGGTCAGGGTTACGGGTTCCAAAGGTTCAAGGTCAAGGTCAAGTTTATTTTTCACTGATGAAAATTTTGTTATCATATTATGAAGCAAAGTTGGTTGGATTTGAAGAATGAGTCAACTGACCAAAGATCAGGGTCACTGGGTTAAAGGTCAAGGTCATTTGGGTCCAAAGGTCAAAGACAAAGTGGATCTCTTACTTTGACCCTGACTCTTGATGGGGGAGGTATTTAAGGTGAAATAAAACAAATCAAAGCTAACAAATGAGTATTGCACCGGTATTTACATTTCTGTTAGCCCAGCAAATATGGATGTGGAAGGAAACAAGAGATTCACATCATAGTACATGTAAAATGTATATTTTGCTTCCTTGCAATTTTTTTTAAAGTCCAAATGTCAAATGTCAAGCTCAGCTATATGGGCAGATTGCTTCTTGATGATTATGGGGATATATTGCCACAAGACGGGGCCCTTACTGACCTGTAAGTGTTCTAGTTTGTCTTGATGATTATGGGGGCTATATTGCCACAAGACGGGGCCCTTACTGACCTGCCAGTGTTCTAGTTTGTCTTGATAATTATGGGGAATATATTGCCACAAGACGGGGCCCATACTGACCTGTAAATGTTCTAGTTTGTCTTGATAATTATGGGGAATATATTGCCACAAGACGGGGCCCTTACTGACCTGTCAGTGTTCTAGTTTGTCTTGATAATTATGGGGGATATATTGCCACAAGACGGGGCCCTTACTGACCTGTCAGTGTTCTAGTTTGTCTTGATGATTATGGGGGATATATTGCCACAAGACGGGGCCCTTACTGACCTGTCAGTGTTCTAGTTTGTCTTGATGATTATGGGGGATATATTGCCACAAGACGGGGCCCTTACTGACCTGTCAGTGTTCTAGTTTGTCTTGATGATTATGGGGGATATATTGCCACAAGACGGGGCCCTTACTGACCTGTCAGTGTTCTAGTTTGTCTTGATGATTATGGGGGATATATTGCCACAAGACGGGGCCCTTACTGACCTGTCAGTGTTCTAGTTTGTCTTGATGATTATGGGGGATATATTGCCACAAGACGGGGCCCTTACTGACCTGTCAGTGTTCTAGTTTGTCTTGATGATTATGGGGGATATATTGCCACAAGACGGGGCCCTTACTGACCTGTCAGTGTTCTAGTTTGTCTTGATGATTATGGGGGATATATTGCCACAAGACGGGGCCCTTACTGACCTGTCAGTGTTCTAGTTTGTCTTGATGATTATGGGGGATATATTGCCACAAGACGGGGCCCTTACTGACCTGTCAGTGTTCTAGTTTGTCTTGATGATTATGGGGGATATATTGCCACAAGACGGGGCCCTTACTGACCTGTCAGTGTCCTAGTTTGTCTTGATAATTATGGGGGATATATTGCCACAAGACGGGGCCCTTACTGACCTGTCAGTGTTCTAGTTTCACCTACGTTGACCAAACTTGCTAAAGTTTTAATGTATCTTGGGTAAGTAGGAGTGTCAAATTCTAAATTCGGGTCTCGTGCCCCACTATATAAAGCGATATGGCCCTCCGTTAATTTTTATACCGGAATTTTTCTATTTGCTAATAAGGGGGAGACAAAAGTTTTTGTTCACAAAAACAAAATTCTAGTTTGATTATATTTTCTCAATCTTCATTGTTCAAAGTTCTGATACTGTTGTAGATATAATGTGTCTTTAGGGATACAACCTTGATTCTGTCGTAAATACGGCGTTTTATTGGGTTGATACTGTTGCTGGTACAATAATTGTACGTCAATAATTCAACTCCATTGTTTTGTGGGTTGATACTGTTGCTGGTACAATAATTGTACGTTAATAATTTAGCTTCATTGTTTTGTGGGTTGATACTATTGCTGGTACAATAATTGTACGTCAATAATTCAACTTCATTGTTTTGTGGGTTGATACTGTTGTTGGTCCAAGAGGTGTACATCAATAATTCAACTCCATTGTTTTGTGGGTTGATACTGTTATTGGTCCAAGAGGTGTACATCAATAATTCAACTCCATTGTTTTGTGGGTTGATACTGTTCTTGGTCCAAGAGGTGTACATCAATAATTTAGCTTCAATGTTTTGTGGGTTGATACTGTTGTTGGTCTAAGAGGTTTACATCAATAATTTAGCTTCATTGTTTTGTGGGTTGATACTGTTGTTGGTCCAGGAGGTGTACATCAATAATTTAGCTTCATTGTTTTGTGGGTTGATACTGTTGTTGGTCCAAGAGGTGTACATCAATAATTTAGCTTCAATGTTTTGTGGGTTGATACTGTTGTTGGTCTAAGAGGTGTACATCAATAATTTAGCTTCATTGTTTTGTGGGTTGATACTGTTGTTGGTCCAAGAGGTGTACATCAATATTTCAAGTCCATTGTTTTGCTCTCTTTCCTCCACCAGTCACTGATGACTTTGACCTTTTATAACCTTTGGCCTGGGATTTATTTGGGCTAGTTTCCACATCTATTTCCTGGGAAAATAAATAAATGGAGTTGTATGTAACAAAGGAAGATGCCACAGATGAGACAGGTACTGACATACATTAAATGAAAGATAAACTGGGTGTATTTCCAGTAATTATGGATAATAAAAAAGTCGCAGTGATATCTAACTGGTAACAATAGATAACAAAGGGAGATTAGCTAACAAGGGAGATAACACAGATCTGACCTGTAAATTACCTAGGTAACAAAGGGGAAATAGCGGATGTGACCTGTGTATTAAGTAACAAAGGGGAAATAGCAGATGTGACCTGTGTATTAAGTAAAAAGGGGAAATAACAGATGTGACCTGTGTATTAAGGTCATTGGAGTGTATTGATAAACGGAAACAGGAAGTACATCCCTAGTTGAAAATCCAATGTAGGGAGACAGTATCACAAATTCCGCAAATTCTAATGTTTATTATTGACAGAACAGTGTGTTCTCTCAATATTAAAGTATTTCATGGCAATCCAGGCATTAATTCAGGTGTTTTTTTATCAATGAGTCACATGTGTCCATTTTCTGTACTTCAGGAACCCGGCTACCTATTTCACTACTGTGAAGTTTTTCAAGAACGATAACTCTTACCTGCAATTACTATGTGTACATGGTTTTATTATAAAATGTCAATTTTTATATCGTGTATAGAGAATTAATTTAAACAATTTCAGCATTTATTAAATTGATATACATTAATGCAATACTAATATATGTCAGTATAATTTTTATTGACATTATTTTGTAAAAATATTGTGTCTTTCAGGGTTTTTTCAAAATTCACTCCTTTTTATTTAAATTTCCATTTATATTCCTTAAAATTCTGACAATTATATTTTTTTGTGGCAGAAAATTTTCTTTACTTTTAAGCAATATAACTACAAAATTTGAAGAAATTCTACTGAGAAATGGTGACACAATCCTATTACCTTAAGTAACAAAGGGGAGATAACAGTTAAACTGTATACGTAAATTACTTAACAAATGGGGATATGACCTGTATTTTGGGTAGCAGAGAACAGTAGAAATGGCCTGATCCTTAAAATAAAGGGCATGTCTCAGATACACATGGATAGTGGATTCAATGTGCACAACACACCTACATAATTAGATATATATATATATTTATAAACAACATTTTGAATACATTTTGTTTAGAAGACTGATTTTTTTTCAAAAACTGTTTACTTGTGAAAACAATGACAAGATGCCCAATGGGCCTGCATCACTCACCTGGTATAAATCTCACACTTGTAACATTATAAGTGATCTAAAATAAAGCTACAGGCAAAATATCAGTATTTATTATTAAATTTCATTCAAAAGAACCTTTTTTTTTTT